AGTGTGTGTACACTGTGAACCTTTTCCCCCCACTGGTTGTAATGCAAAAAAAGAAAAGATGGACAGGTCGTAAGAGTTGACTGCTACGAGGCCATAATCGTCGAAATAAATTTTTTTCCGCGCCCGGTGGGTTCCCCTTTTTCTGCTGCCGGGGGAGTCGTGAGGGTTCGGGAAACGGCGTCCCGAACGGTTATTTTCCGTGGTCTTACGATGATGTAAACTGCGCTGTTCATCTTATTTCCCTTCTTTACTCTCCCTCACACCATTTCAATTTCAATAAAACTTTTAAAGGCATCTGTTTCCACTCTTCTTATGGCCGGGAGTCCGTCATTCATGCGTTTGAACTTGACATTGAAACCGCAGTTCGGTTTACAGGCGGACATTCACCGAGTTCAGGTTATCGTTAACCAATACTGTATCTCGCTTCTGTTCTTTCAAATTTTATGCAATTTCATCCGGAAAATGTAAGCCATTATACAGTATTTTATTTTGAAAGGACAGTCACTGCAGAATAACGCCGAGAGAGGGATCTTGTTCTGCATAAGAAGGGCCCGAATGCAAACACTGTACTCAGAAAGTTCTTCGTACTTATTTCGAAAGATTAGCATTGTTGCTGGCAAATGATGTTGCATCCTGGAAATTCAAAGGCTAATCAAAATATAAAACTTATCTTCGGCGATTTGGCAATTCATCTCAATTTCATTTTGGAATTTACGGCCGAAATCTCATACGAAATAGATACTTACGGATGGTCCAATATAACAAATCATGGTTAACAAATGTTCAAAAAGAGTAATACCGTAACATAAGATCCAACTTCTGACGTTTTATTTTTTTTTGAAATAGCAGCTCGATCATGGTACTATTTTTTTTATTAGAGTTCCCATTTCTTCCTGCTGTTTCATATCCGCAATTTTTTGTTTATTATTATTTTTGAGTCAGTGTGCTTGACTGCTGATAAAATCGATTTTTCTATAGCTCGACGAATTCGGTAAAGCAGAAGTTGAGCAAATCTATCAGAATCCCCGCCAGTTAAATCAGGAATCTAGTTTCAAAGGGATGGAAATCTAATTGCCAACTTGAAATATATATTTTTAAATAAAATAACTTTGTGAGAAATAATCAAAATGTGAGTTGGATCCTTCGCTGGAACCCGTTCCAAATTTAGGATCCTGTTTTAATAGTTCGCTGCTCGGAACAATCGGAAGGCAGCATCATCTAGTGACAATGCTTCACAACACCCAGTGACTATGTTTCCGGTTAGATGTCTAGCATGATTCCGATAGGGAAAACTTGAATCCACGCGATGTGATCCTGCAACTGCCGACGCAGGGACGAAAGCAGAAGGCGGAGCCACAACTATTCCGTCCATCCCACAAAAAACGCGAACCGGTGCGCAAGTTGTTCCGCCCCGTGACAGTGTGAGTTATGACCCGGCCTCCCGCTGTATGGGCCAATAAGAATCCGAGATGTCAAGTCACCGGTACAATGTCCCTGCCCCCATTTGAGAAGCCCGTCGGCCGACGCCTGGGTTTCCCCATTCGAGGATGAGCGACATCTTAAAACTAAGTCGACAAACTGCGTTGTGAAACCGGATTTTACAGGGGTCGCGCGTATCGCCAAACCTAGAGAATACTGAACAGCATTATTTCGCAGAAATAAATCTATGAATAAGCGTTGTACCGGGTATTTTAAATAATATACCTAGGTACTTCACTCCCCCGGTTTTTAAGATTGCCCGGGGAACATTACACTGTACCGAAAAGTCCACACACATATGAAGAAAAACGTTATTTTCGAGTCTGACATGGAAGTTATTGGAAGGGATTTTGACATTTATTCAATGCCGTACACAGAAAACCCGTTCTCGAATCAAATTTTTCGCATGAAGAACTCACCGTCATTTTTGAAACATGCAGCCGAAGATGTTGCGGCTTTCCGAGACTGCATGAATACGTGTCCTTTGGAAATCGACACTTTTCGCTCATCGTCGTTCCAAAAACGACTTCTGAAGTCGGCACAACTGAAGACGGATATATTTTCCGAGTTTCACTGACTTCACATTTCACTGAACACCGATTACGAATTCTCGCGACACACAGTGTCATATTTCAACGAAATGCTCCTGAAATCATTCGGCAGAGAAAATATATTAAGCTACTGTTTTTTTTTTCAAATACTGTAGTTTTAAATCTAGAGATCCGCGAGAAAACTACAGAAGTCAAGAGACAGGAAAGTAAATGACTTATCTCCAGTGCTCAGCTTTATTTTTGTAGGTTCATATCTTCATCCGCAATCCATCCGAAATGACCGATTCTGTCTTTCTTTCTTTGTTTTGTATGAATTGGAAGGGATTTTGACATTTATTCAATGCCGTACACAGAAAACCCGTTCTCGAATCAAATTTTTCGCATGAAGAACTCACCGTCATTTTTGAAACATGCAGCCGAAGATGTTGCGGCTTTCCGAGGCTGCATGAATACGTGTCCTTTGGAAATCGACACTTTTCGCTCATCGTTGTTCCAAAAACGACTTCTGAAGTCGGCACAACTGAAGACGGATATATTTTCCGAGTTTCACTGACTTCACATTGCACTGAACACCGATTACGAATTCTCGCGACACACAGTGACATATTTCAACGAAATGCTCCTGAAATCATTCGGAAGAGAAAATATTTTAAGTTACTGTTTTTTTTCTCCAAATACTGTAGTTTTAAATCCAGCGATCCGCGAGAAAATTGGTCTTCAGTTCTCTGTCCTTTCATTTACTGAATAGAGGTCACGAGTCGAAATAAAAACATCCAAGTATAGAAGTAGGCGTTAGGTAGGCTTTACTGGCTAAGACAGAAAGAAAGAAACAAAACATACTACAACACGAAAAATTCATCGCACTCTTAATCGCGATTTCCTTCTCGCCTCTGTTCTTGTAACACGTAACAACAACAAAGCTTTTTTCAACCCCCGAAATTCCTCATCGTCCGGCGATCATCTCAATAAATCTAACACATTCACTCCAAAAAATCCATTCACAACAGAAAAAAAACAAGGACATCGTGGAGGGAAAAACCCTTGAACCGGACACATGCAACAAACAAAAGCAACAACCGAAAAAAATAGGCTAAAAAAACCTATGATCCGCTAATATGTTCGACACACACTGGACTCGTCTGAAGTGCTGAAATTTGCAGCAACTCAGGTGAAACACTGCAAAACGCAAAAAATAATCGATCCGATCCTCGGTGTTTACATTCCGATCAACTTCCCAGGACAACTCCATTCAACGCCGCAATGAGATCAATATTTATTCCGTTCAAGAAGTCGGATCGCGAAAAAGGAGGTAATTTGTTTTAGCAATACAAGTAGATTCTGTTTCCTTCAAACCTAATTAGAAAAAAAAATTCAGGACACGGAAAGCAGTTTTTTTTCCTATATTGAGCTGATCTCGAATACAAAAGTCTAAGAACAAGCATCCCTGAAGCCTCTCGTTTTCATAGCGATTCTGCAAACAAAATCGAACAGATGAAACATAAAACCGTTGGTACAGCGTAAAAAGTAAATTGAATCGGCAACGTTCTTTCTCCGCGAAAAATGAATCTTCGAAATGAATTCCAGTTGCCGTACATTAGCAACTACAATTATCAAAAGGGTTTCAAATAGTCCTGAAAGATTCCGCGAAAAAAAATCTCTACCAGGGAACCGAAATCTCCCGCAAAAAATAATATATCCGCGGAAAAACGAAGGATATCTTTTTTTCTGAAAAAAGGCAAAACAGATTCACCGGAAAATAACTTGCCCCTAATTTTATTTTTCTCGAAGAAGCACCGAAAGCTAAAAATGGAAACTTTTTCCTTTTCTCTGTACAGCATTCATTCGTTCTCAGTCAGCATTACATTAAGTTATCCGAAACACACGTATGCTCAAAATCGTTCCCGTCGCGCGAAAAAAAAAAAATTCTCACAAATATGCTTTTAAAGAGGGAAAATAAAAATCCGATGCTGAAAGTCGTCGAGAAAAAAAATCTTTACCCCCTTTAAAAACAGCAGGTTCCTAAATAGAGAAAAACGCCGTCCATTCAGTCAAATATCTAGATGTTGTCCTGATTTCGATTATGAAAAAGGCAAGTTCGCTTTTCTAGAGTCTAGAAAAATCCGCGGCGACGCATTTATGTACCAAAATTTCTCGTTCTCAGAAAACCTTTAAAAGAATTACAGAGTCGAGAGAAATCGCTCTTTTTCCCATCTAGCTGAAATTTTACAAAATCGAAGGAAACCCTCTCCTTTTGCTTTTCTTTTCAACTTTTGCATTCTGCAAAGCAGAAAAAGGGCGGGGGCTGAATCCCGCGAGAAACCGGAAAACCTGCTGAACACCTTTCATTGCGAGCCAATTGCATAAAGCCAATTCATTCCTTTCCCTCTTGCCAAATTCCCTAGAATCTTCTAAATGAAAGGTTCTCATATTTCTCGCGTCTGTTTTCTAATTTTCCTCGGCTTCGGAAACTTCCGAATATCCTCGAATGCACAACGGCGAGCCGGAAATGCTTGTCACCGATACGCGAAAAAATATACGTATTGCACGCGAACGCGGAGATGAAACTTTGGTTTTCGCCAATTTCCGATAAAAATGTTCGACAATTCGATTCAAGGAAATAATTTCCGAAAATATTAAGCAGAAGCTGCGAAAAAAAAAAAAAAAAAAAAGAGCGAGACGATGGTGAAAATAACAACATTCGCACACGACTCTTTGGTTCATTTAACGTCATCAAATTCGGCTCCGCGCGTAATTTTCTTCTTCCTCTCTTCTTGAATTTCTTTTTTCTCTCATGAGGCCGAACCACACAAAAAATTCAGCTTGGCTCGGAGCGATTTTGAACGTTGACGAAACTCAAGAAATCGAAGAAAACAATTCCGCTTTCAATCCTATAATGTAGTAACTGAATTCTTGTTTCGTTTCTTTTTTTAGCTGCCAGGTCAGTAGGATTCTTAATTTTCTATTGTTTTAGAAATGCCACAGCGGCTTGTCACAGTTCTTCTGGGATGTGATCCTTAGACAAAAAAATGTCAGTCAGTGTACAGTACTGTACTGTATCTTAAAATTTTAGTTCATTGTATTTCTGTAATAGTCCGCTTGAAAATCGAAGCACGCGCGGAAAATGCATGTATCATTTTTTTTAAAGTAGTTCCAGGAATCCTCGACTTTTTCCCCACAAACCTTTAAAACAATATCGGTGATAACTTTCCTAAATATTGATAATTATTTTAAATATATTTGTACTAAATTGAACGAAATTTCGGGAAAAGCGGGCACCTCTTTTTTGTGTGAATCTGATGCATTTAATTCTAATAAAATGAGCAACGAGGATAAAGTTGAAAAAAATCACATCCCCAGAGACGTTACAAAATCCGCGCAGCAATTCAAACCTAATTTTTGACGGCATCCTTTTATTAATTTATTTCAAAGGAGCAAGGAAAGAATATTCATTGTATTAGTTCGATCGGTTGGTTTTTTTTCATTTTTGGTTGGGGTTCTCGCGGGACTGCGAATCAATCGTTACACCAGCTAACCTGTGCCGTTACTCGAACCGATACCGTTTTCCGCGAGTCTGACGTCAATGTCGGTGTTGACTTTGGTGTCGACGGCCGCCGCGTTGCCAGCGCCGGCCACATTCCCGGCGCCGCCGCCGCCGCTGCTGCCAGTGGTCGACTCGGCGGCGTCGGAAGACGACGACGAAGCGCCGTTGGACGTCGTCGTGGACGCCGCGGCGTCCGGCTTGGGTTTGTTCTCCTTCTTCCACTTCATTCGTCGGTTTTGGAACCAGATTTTAATCTGGCGTTCCGTGAGACACAAGGCGTGTGCGATTTCTATCCGCCGCCGGCGGGTCAGGTACCGATTGAAGTGGAACTCCTTTTCCAGCTCCAGCGTTTGATACCGGGTGTACGTTTGTCTCCCTCTCTTCCGCTCTGGGAAAAATAAATAGAAAAAAAAGGAAAAATTACGTAGAATGCGAGCAAATAAAAGGCGAGTACGGAAAAGAAACGAATAACGGCCACGTGGGCGATAAAAAAAATTTCCGGCTCCGCTGAGTTTTACTGCCCCAGTTTTCGAGCGTGATTGGTCGGTTTTAGAGCGTCATTTTGTGATGCACAGTCAGGTGCGAACAGGTGATTTCAGTTCTAATCTATTTAATTATAATTTTGCCACACGATTACTGCGCATTCCTTTTTTTTACTTGTCCGCTAAAAAGAAAAACCGCGAGTCGAAATTCAAATTTGCATCTCGCGGTTCCGAAGCGTTTATCTCCTTCCATATGATTGCTTCATGCAAAAAAAAAATGGTCGAAGTTCCGTTTTGCAGCCTTATTACGAAGATCGAAGAAAATCTGACGTTTCCTCTGTGGGAAGTGGAAAAGCAGTATAATTCGTGTTATCGAACAGAAAATACCCCGGCCAGTCACACATTTTGTTTTACAATTGATTGAAAGATTTGTTTGAAGAAATGGTGGGACAAAAAGAAGAGTGGATGATACATGCGTTAAACTTCAGAAGGTGATTGAATGTCTACGAGGGCATATATGGGTAGAATTTTTTATAAAATCACCAACAGATCAATGGCAAAAGAATTTTAGTACAGAACAGTACTGTCATTGAGAAAATAAAAGGAATATGAAATTGATCCTGCAGATTTTTTTTCCCGATGCAGAAAAGCAGTCATTTTCTCAATAAACTTCTTCAAGGGGAACGGGGCTTGATTTTTATTTCAGCTTGTGCTTGTTATCTGTGTTGGGCCTGAAAATGGTGCAGTACATTCAATGAGTAGGTTTATTTTTAAGAGACACATTATGGGAACCTAATTCTTGTGCTGCACGGTCAAATTGGCGAATAGTTTTGAAAATCATTGAAAAGCAGTTCTTTGGACTGAAATTCAGCTTTCAATGCCCGATATGTTCAAGTTATGAGGCACTGTAAAAAAAATTTGATCTGCAGTTTACAATACTGTTTGACAAGAATGTCTGCTCGCCATCATTTTTTTTATTGCAACAAAAAATAATTTTATCCCTGCATGTTCATGGTACAGTACTTTCTGCTTGTCATTGTTTTTCGACTGCAATCACTTTATTTTTCCCTTTGCTGAATCCAATCAATGAAGCCTTTACGATTCCAGAATCCGATGAAACCCAGAATAATTCAAGGGACACGCAAGAGGCTCCTGGAAACTCGTTATTGGGCCACATCCAGGTCCAGGAATGAAAGATAAATTGAGCGGTGCTGAACACCTTGCAATAATTCGGGCTTCCGAACAAGCGGATACCTTCATTTACTTTTTTTCGTCTTCTTTTATTCCAACAATATATTCTAGGAAATAGGAAATCCGCAGAGCAGGTGTGTGGGTCCGGTCCGGTTGATGTGAATTTTTCTCCGGGATAAAAATGGGCCCAATACTGCGGATTCTTTTTTTGTTGTTGTCCCCTCCACCCCTTTCCTCTTTTTCTCCGTGTCCAATAATGAGGCCGAGCGGCGACACGGTGGGGAGGAGACCCGGCGCAATTATCCCAGCCGTGTGTGCCGCGCTTCGCGCGGTCCGATAGTAGCAGCCATTCATCATTCGATTCCGCGCGTCAAGCGCGACCACATTCTTCTTCCGTTCCTCGACTCTTTTTACCCCTGTCCTGCGTCCCCTCCTATTTTTTTTTTCTTTTCTTTCTCCGTCTCCTTTTTCTTTTACTTATCAGCTTGTGCACTCATTCTCCCTAGTTTTCCTTCCACGGTATTCCACCCACCACTCAACCTTGGACGCGGGATATTGGCGGCCCAAGGCGGGCTTGGAACAAAAGGCGTCAGAATCTGAAGCATGCGCCGGATGGTCTTGAGAAAAAAAAAAAAAGAGTCAGTCGCCGGACTGGGCAGAATAAGCAGCAGATCCGAAGGGGTTTCTTGGCTTTGCTCTGATGATAAAACTTGGCAGATTTTCGGGATAATAACCGGTACGATAAATGTGCATTAAACTGAGAGGTATTCCGTGGGTACCATGTAAAAAAAAAGAAAGGATCTTGGCTGAGCATCCCAGGAAGCTTTCGGCATTAAGTACTCTGATGAACAGAACAAGATGACTGAATTGATGATTTAACCAGCAAAATAATAATTATTTTATTCGAAAAACTCGTTGCGAGAATGGCTCTGATTGTGCAAACAGATACTGTACTTGAGAATATTTTCATGGATGTCAGCCCACACGAATCGACAAGACAAACATCGTCAAATAAAATTGAAAGAAAACGAACGGCATATTATCTCAATTAAATGTTCATAATTCCGAATAACACAAACAAACTCAAATTCGATAAAACGCAAAAATGATAGATTTTCTCGAGTCAACCTGTCAAAAAATTCCATCGCACCCAGTAATAAACGCAGGATCTCGTGTGAACGGACATATATTGTATGGAAGACAGAAAAAAAAACAGTCATGTTTGGACATCGAAGAGCAAATGTTGATCGTTCGTTGATTCTCCAACTAGAATTTATAAAAAGTTATTCAGAACAACTATACCTCCCATACCATTGAAAATAGAATATAAAAAAACGGCGTCGTCTTGTCAGATTTTTTTCTTATCTGCTAATTAACGTAAGAGTTCTAACAAGAAACAAAAATCATCCTGCATCTGAATTCAACTCGTCTGTCGATTTAAAAATTAACACGGACATCGATTTCATTTTTTCTCAGTCGAAGAATACACCACAGGACATTTAAGGAACTTTACTCGAACGTAGGAATTTAGCTGATGGATGCAGCTTCGACAGACAATACCGGGACATTCAAAAATTGCGGAAACATTTTAGTCGACATTTCGGTAAGCATTGCCACATGAGGCGAAGCTACAGTACAGCATATATGTCTGCAGACCGTAAACTGGAATTCATATACTGTATGGTACCGTACTTGCTATTCAGAAGAATCATCAGTTTTGTTGCGTGTGTGTAAAAACAAAACAAAACGCACAGCACGGAATCCCGAGAAGAGACCACACGCGTGGGGTTTCTTTGTGGCCTATGCACTAATATCAGAAATACAGTACTGTACTGTATATCCATAATTTAAAAAAAGTGCCTCAGTTTGGGTTAACTCTTGCAAAGGCCGCATTCGAGTTTTTGAGGGCAATTCATAATTTTTTGCGGGGGGGGGGGGGAATAAGTGCGGCCTATGCTTTTATAAATAGAATAAAATATTGTTACAATAAAGCCATTGAGACCAGTAAAATAGCTTTGTTGTAAAATCTATTATGAAGTAACTCATTTAACCCTCGGGCGGTGCTGGCAGGTTTGTTTTGCATAGCGCAGCACAGCCGGGATTTATTTGCAGGCTTCTGCATTTTGGTTTGACCAAAAATCACCAAAACGCAGATTTGGCTGAGGTAGCCATAGTTGGGAAAATCCCAAAAAGGAAGCCTTTTTTCCCAGAATCTCTCAATGTTTATCTTAGAGCAGGAATGTAGAAAAAATGCCACCAAAAATAACTTTTTTGTCTTTTTTTCTTGAAAATGTTCCTGCAGGAACGCTAAAAAAAAAATTTGGGATTTTTCCCATCTTCAGCTCTTTGACCATTCTTGTTTCTCTATATTTTTTTTTGCTCCTTGTGGTATAAAATTCTGTTTATAAATCCCGGCACCGCCACCCAAGGGTTAGCAGTGTGGCTATTGGGCAGGAATTTGAAAAAAAAAATGTGAATTTGCTTTCAGCAATTATTGTATTCACTACGGTATATGAAATTTCATTGTAACGAGATTCTTTTGCGCAATGTACCATACAATAATTTACAGTACAGTACAATAACTCAAACCTCCCTAAGTGAAAAAAAACCTCTAAGTTTAATTTTTTTCAGGTCCTGCCTGAATCACCCTAAAATTAATGCATTTCAAACCTCCCTAAGTCAAAGGCTTTTTCCCTCAAACTTCCAAAAGTCAAATTGTATGTGGCCTTTTGGCTTTTATTTCCTTGACACATATTTCCTTGAGACTTAATTGTGCAAATGAACCCTGTCTCCAAGTTATTCAGAATGCTTTCTACTCATTTAAGAAGTAGTTTCAGCCTCAGAATCTCAAAATTTACAATTTTGAGCAATTTTTCTATGTTTCCCAGGACAAAAGGGGCTTTGTATTGAAGCTCAATTTAATAGCTCCATAAGTCAAATTTTTTGTTGCTGGTCCCTTGAAGTTTGACTTATACAGTGGCCCCCTGCATAACAGACCTCCGGTGTAAGGGATTTTTGCCAAACAGACCAGCTCTGCAAGCAGTTTTTCCTCCGGCCCAACAGACAAAATCCGCCATTGTCTGAAGAAAACTAAATTTTAATCAGTGGAAAATTGAAATTTTTAATTTTTTATGTAATTGAATTCGTGTAAAGGACTTTTCATCTAACAGACTGGTCCCTTGCACGAATCAAGTCCGTTAGACAGGGGCTGACTGTATAGATGTTTGACTGTAATGTACTTTTAAACTGGCCACCAAAGATCTCGGCCTGCCAACCTCTCTTGCATTCCTCTTCTATCTTCCCCCCCAACAGCAGGCCCATGCTGGAGCGCTTTTTGCTTTTTGCGGCATGGCAGCCCCACCAAGCATGGCATGGCGTGTCTCTTCCTGGCAACGCTCTCAGGGGCCCCTCTGAGAGCATGGCTGACCGTAACTCCCCCCTTATTCGCGTTTCCCCAGGTATTTCTCTCGTCGTCCGTATAGTTCTCCCATTTCCTCCGAATCCGACCATTTCTTTCTTTCATCCTTCTTTCCTCTCATTCCTCCTGCTTCTTCTTCTTCTTCATCGTCTGCGTCTCCTCCTGTTCCCTGAAACCACGCACCTCACCGTCCTGTTCCCACCACCCTTATTTCCTTCATATCACAGCCTTGTATTCCACACGGTTTTATATACCGTGCGACGTGCGCAGAGAGTCGTTCTATGGAGCGACATGCGCGCGATGCATCATTCCCTGGGTGGTCTCGCCTTTCCGTCAATACAAAGGTTCGATCAATTCTAAAACGGGTTGAATACGTTTATAGAATCGATCATTCAATCTTTCTCTTCCCTTTTTGATTATTTTATTTGCCCGTTAACAACTTTGCTCTTATTGGCAGTAAAGCAAGTGCAGAACAGTACGCACAGTACACTTTGATAAAACGATAATTCGATTAGAATGGCGTGAATTCGGATTCATTACGAAGGAAATCAAGCGGCATGTAAAAAAATCTAGCTTTGAATAGAATCTTTTGCGATTGATAATCCAAAATATTATTGTAATATGACATCAAGGGTTTTGAGAATGTCAGATATATTTCGTCAGATCATTCGCTATTATTTGTTTCGTTAACGCATGGCATTTTTACTGAAGTAAAGGATTATTCGTGATATTTTGTCAACTGATAAATGGTATACGGTCATCATCCACGATAAAACCAAGATGTTTCCTTTATTTCTGAAATATTTCTGTATAATTCTCTGTTTATGGGACAAAATTTTGCATATTTGTCGAAGAGATAAATTTTCAGTCGTATGTTGGCATTCCCAGGAAATAAGCAAAAATGCGCGTCAATTTATTTTGATTCGGAAGTGAACATTGGCAGCACGTATGTTCGGTCGGCATCGAGAAACTGGTGCAAACCACCAGACGATTTTCCCACGCCACCGAAAAAAAATACAACCGCTTGAAAAAAAAATAAGAAAACCTGCCCATATAGGTATTGCGAGACGATTTCGAACAGCTGGTGCCCCGGCGGAATTGTGGGAAAATATGCAAGATGGTCAGACCTGCTCGATCATGCGAGACCCGAACAGTTATGCTTGGACACAAATTTTGCCAATAGTAACGTGAATTTATAAATTTTTTAAGAAATGCGCATGTTCTTTTTTCTTCGTTGGTTCAGAATTCCGCATTGATTTGAAATTCAGTGCGAAAATATACGGTGGTATTGAGATATTCACGAAAACGCAAATTGATTGTAGAAGTGAAAGACATCGTTTATGGCTCTTGTTTTTTTAGCTTACCCTAGAAGTACGATTCTTGAAAGACATTTCATGATATTCTTTCGCCGCTTTCATTCAATATGATGTCATGTTTATTTATTCATTGGACTACTGTACTTCCAAATTCGGATGCATCAAAATTCGTAAAATTAAAAGACCTTATTTATAGATAAGCGAATATTTAGTTTAGACTCGTAAAAATTAACTCGAATACCACTGATGCACAAAAGCAATGAATTAGACACTCAATCATATTCGTATACTGTACTGATGAATAGTATCAGAATTCGGACACGGTATGTTGTAATTAGAGGGTTTCGGAGTGAATGGGACCTTCGCAATTATTCGCAGAGCAAATCTGCGCAGCAAATGGTAGGAATAGTCATTTATTTAGCCGGAGCACAATTACTTTGACAGTATATACCGAAAGTCCAACTCTAAAATTATCCAAAAATAAAATTCAGTTTTTTTTTTTCGTTGCATTTTTCCGAATACAGTACATGTATCACTAATGAAGTTTCCCTTAATGCGATTAAATTCCGAGAAAACGGTTAGCAGTGTGCAAATGAGCTTAAGTAAACTGTTTACTATATGTCAAAAAAGCCAGCATTACAAAGGCGCGGTCTTACGCGTAAAATATCTCCAAGCTTTGTTGTAAGGTTACCCTAGAATATTGTCCTCTTTTACAGCATATCGAAATAATGTAAATGAGCATTGTTTCCTTGAGGTAGAAAGCACGAAAAACTCGAGAAAGCCAAATGATCAACGGGAAATTATCGAAGACCCGCATTTGTTCTATAATTTTTGTGTGCCACGAATGTCTCCTATTACGCATTTTTGATGA